ATATATATATATATATATATATATATATATATATATATATATATATATATATATATATATATATATATATACATAAAAATTCAATGTTGTATTCACAGTATAATTAGGAGTTCTGGAACCCCCTTCCGCTCTATAGCTCCGCCCCTCCCTAACTCATAGTCGATCGAGGATTCAAATTTTATGGGTTCGAACCATTGGTGATATATTGAAACGCTAGCATGAATATACATTGATATACATGTCTTATGTAGGGTTTTAGTAGAATGTACATAGCTAAGAGCAAATAAATTTGGATAAAACTTTTTCCTATTACACTTTTAAAGCATGAAAATACATTGATATACATGTCTTATGTTAGGTTTTAGTAGAACGTACATAAATAAGAGAAAGTAAATTTGGATAAAACTTTTTAATATTACACTTTAGAGCAAATTAGTAAACACTCGTGTGGGTAAGTTCTTTCCTTTTACCACATGTTTAGTGTATTGGTAAAAATTAAGTTCGTATATATTGAATTTAATGAAAGATGACGTGTCATGACACGTAGACTGGTCAAAGGATGACGATCAACAAAGAATAATTAAAGAGGCACGAGATACAACATACACGAGTAGAGGTTCAAGAGACTCGGTACCCGCACCTCTTTATGTTCAAAAGTCAATATAAGAGAATGAACCTCACAGCAAAAGTTGAAACGGATACAGTATTTAATAGGCATTAAATACTGAGAACGTTAGAGAATCTGTATTGAATTATAATGATTATCATTTATAATGTAGCATTAAATACCTTTAATTGTCAACATTGGCCTTATTATGACAAAGGCAAAACATATCACCTAGAAATAGCTATAAAAGGGGCAACCTGATCATTTGTAAGGACACGAAATACTACTGGAATATATCGATTTACTTCATTTTCTATTCAACTTTTATTTACATACATTATTCATATTTTTATTTGATTATCAGTAGCCCGGGTTCTTCTAAAAATAAGCTTTGGCCAAAATCCCACTTTTTGGTTAAATAAATTGGTTCCGTTACCGGGAATCTCATAATCGTTTTGCTTTCTTAAATCAATTCTCTCATCAAACAACTTACTATGTCGAATATCAATGACAATCGTCAACAAGGTCTTCAACAACAAGAAAATAATGCAAGAGACAGGTCTCCCCCTCCTTCACCACATGATTCACAACGTTAATCACCAGAAGGAACTCCAGATGGATCTGAGACAAACAATGGAGTTGCAAATCAAAACGGAGTCGAGGCGATTCAAAATGATGGAGTTGTAAATGAACAAGCATTTGATGATGCCTTAAAAAATTTGATTGCTCAGCAAGTCAGTAATGCTCTCCGTGCTTTTACTAGCCAGTTGCCAGTTGCGCCGCCAATACCAACTCCGAACCAGAATACATTGGAAAACCCACGTTCTGGGCTCGTGCATTCAGGCACTGGTGGAACTCTAAGCGAGTCTCGTGATGGCAAACCAGGTAACATGGTTAATTCTGATTTACAAAATTTAGTTCTAACTCTGCAGAAGCAGCTCAAGGAACAAAGCGATCGCATAGAGCAAATACCTGGAGTACTACCAGTAATCAAAGGAATAGACATGGACAAATATTCACAACAACCTTGGAAGCCAAGTGCTGCTCCCCTCCCAATTCTAAAGAAATTCAAAATGCCCGCTATCGCAAAATACGATGGAGCAACTAATCCATGAGACCACGTGACTGCATTCACAACTGGCGTGAAAGGCAACGACTTAACCAAACCAGAAATCGAATCAGTATTGGTCAAGAAATTTGGTGAAACACTCACCAAGGGAGCATTGACATGGTATTCTCTCTTACCCGAAAATTTTATAAATTCTTTTGCTGAGCTTGCAGATTCATTCACCAAAGTGCATTCGGGAGCTCAAAAAGTCGACAAAAGAATGGAAGATATTTTCACAATCAAGCAAGGAGACTCAGAGTTGCTTAGAGAGTTCGTGGATATATTCCAGCGTAAAAGATGACGCTACCACGAGTACCGGACAACTGGACAGCTATAGCCTTTACCAGTAATTTGAATGAGAAAAGCTCAAAAGCCACGAGGCGACTCAAGGAAAGTCTTTGTGAATTCCCAGCAACAACTTGGAATGACGTTTACAACAGATACAGCACGAAGCAAAGGATAGAAGAAGATATTAACTCATGGTCCCAAAAAGATGAAAAGGTAAGTTCGAGACGTGCGAAAACCAAAAAAAGGTCTGGTAAAAATAGATACGAACCATATATGGGTCCAGCGGGAAAAGATTCACGATCAAAGCAAGACAATTCAAGGTATGATCATAGATCGAGAAATAAAGAGTCGGATTCATCCTCAAAGTTTGGGAACGATCGAAACATGCAAGAGACGCGAGACGATGATAGAAACTTGAAGGCAAGATTTGGCGGTTACAATTTTAATGTCAGCACTTCCGAGCTCGTAGCTGTTTTAAGAAGCATGGGTGATAAGGTGCGGTGGCCAAAGGAAATGAGATCAAATCCAAATAGGCGCAACCCTGATCACTGGTGTGAGTTTCACAACGACCATGGTCATAAAATAGCGGATTGTAGACTATTACAAGGTGAGGTGGACCATTTATTAAAGCAAGGGTATCTTACCGAACTATTTAGTGAAAATGGTAAGCAAGCATACATGAAGAACAGGCAGAAGCTGCCCAAACCTCTTTTTCCAAAAAGGACCGTCAATGTTATAAGTGGAGCCGAAGAAATTAACGGCGTGACATATACAGCAGCCAAGAAAATTTCTAAAAGTTACAGTTACACACGGGAAACGGGTTCGACATGTTCTGGAGGAAGAAAGTATTACATTTGATGATGCAGACGCGGATGGCGTGATAACCCCCCACAAAGATGCACTGGTAATTTCTCTACTTGTACATGATACTAATGTGAAACGAGTTTTGATTGATCCAGGTAGTTCCGTGAACATTATTTTGCTAAGAGTACTAAGTGAGATGCAAGAAGAAGATAGACTGGTACCTAAGGCACATACCCTGTCCGACTTCGATAATTCGAGCGTTGTGACAAAAGGAGAGGTAACACTTACAACATTCGCAGAAGGAGTGGTAAAAGAAACGAAGTTTCAGGTAGTAGAGATGGAAATGGCTTACAATATAATTCTCGGAAGACCGTGGATTCACGAGATGGATGTTGTTCCATCTACCTTGCATCAAGTTATGAAATTCCCATCACCATGGGGAATACGTCAAATTCGTGGGGATCAACAGACTTCCAGAAGCATCAATTTTGTAGCAGATTCAAATACAAAAAAATGAAGAAAAGTAGCAATTACAGAGTCCAGTTGAGGATATCACGGCACAAACCTCAACTGAACAAGGGCGAACAGATGTGGACTCAAGGCCTGATTCTATTCAAGAACCAGAAGAAAATGACAATATCAAAACAACAATTGAAGAACTAGAGGCTGTAGCATTGTTTGCACAATGGCCTGAAAGGAAAGTTTATATTGGGGCCAACTTAAGCCACGACTTGAAAGGTAAGTTGATTGAATTTTTAAAAGCTAACATAGATTGTTTTGCCTAGTCCCATTCTGATATGACAGGAATACCCCCGGAAGTAATGACTCACAAGTTAAATAAAGACCCATCGTATCCACCTGTCAAATAAAAAAATAAAAAAAGCAGGGGCTTTCAAAAACCAGGTGATTCAAGATGAGGTTCAAAAATTATTAAAAATTGGGTCTATCCGCGAGGTAAAGTATCCTAATTGGTTGGCCAACACTATAGTAGTACCGAAAAAGAATAGCAAATGGCAAGTTTGTGTAGATTACACCGACCTTAATAAAGCATGCCCTAAAGATTCTTTTCCATTACCACATATAGATCAGCTAATTGATGCTACTGCAGGACATGAGTTGTTAAGCTTTTTAGATGCATATTCAGGGTACAACCAAATCAAAATGGATCCCCTAGATGAAGAAAAAACTTCATTTATAACAGATAGGGGGACTTATTGTAATAAAGTGATGCCTTTTGGCCTCAAAAACGCCGGAGCCACGTATCAAAGACTGGTGACCAAGATGTTTCAGGAACACCTAGGAAAAATCATGGAAGTCTAAATAGATGATATGCTTGTCAAATCTCAAAAGTCGAGGGATCATATACAACATTTGTCTGATACATTTCATATTTTACGAAAATTCAATATGAAGCTAAATCCCGAGAAATATGCATTTGGCGTCTCGTCAGGTAAGTTTTTGGGTTTTCTTGTTTCTAATCGAGGTATTGAAGTAAATCCTGCGCAGATTAAGGCCATTGAAGAAATTCCTAACATGCTCACAAATAAGAAAGAGGTGCAGAGATTAACGGGAAGAATTGCAGCCTTGGGGAGATCCATTTCTAAGTCATCAGAAAAATATTTTAAATTCTTTTCAGCTCTCAAAAAACAAGATCAGCTCGAATGGTCTGAGGAATGTCAATGAGCACTCAAGAACTTGAAGACATACCTGTCAAATCCACCGTTGCTAGCAAAACCAAAGATGGAGAAAGGTTATGCAATCAGACATCGCATTTGCGATCGCAATTGCGAGATCGAGAGGCCAAAATACCGAGAACTAAACCTGCAACAATTTTTCAAAGTCCAAATACACTCCGTGGACCTATCCAAAACTCGCCCGATCGTCTCGGGGCTCCAAATCCAAACGCTGCACGCAAGTCCAAAAACTATATAC